ATTTTACCAATATGAAATCAATAATATTAATAGGTTATGTTGTTCTTAAACGTCCAAACTAATTTTTAAGCAGGATATCATCTGCGAAAGTTAACGGAAACTCCGCGCYRCGCTATMTACATTAAAACGGCGGAAACTTATTTGTACACCTAATATAATTTTCCAAATGAATTTTATAATTCATTTATATATTCGGATATATATTAAATAAATGTTTTAAATGTAACACTTATATATACTATGCTTTGTCGGTCGTTAAAATCTCTCGCAATTTAAGATACACGCGTACATTTATCTTTGATATATTCTTACCATCTGACTGTTGCTTTTCCTTAGAAACACCGATGAGTTAGAAAATTTATTTATAATCGGATAAATTCTAGCCTTCTTCTTTCCTTCCTACCTTCCTTCTTTTTCCAAACGTATACTTGGAATAATACATTTCACGAAATGTGAGTTTCGTTAGATATATATTTATCAAATTTCTGATTATTGATATTATTCGATTAGGTTTGCCACATTTTCTTACGAATTTATGATCCTTTCCTTCCCTTCCCCTGCCACCCACTCTCCACCCCCACTCACTCGTTTGTCATAATTCGATCATGTTCTCGTAATTTTCTATATACCTGTGTGTTATTCTTTTTTTAAAACATACATGTATATATTATGTATATATACACACACGCGCACGCACACATGATGAACGTACGCAAAAATACGCACGTAAGAGATGCGCATACGCGTATACACATACGTGTTTTTCAATCTCTCTCTCTCTCTCTCTCTTTCTCTCTCACTAACGTCATGTAACAGACGCCGTTCTCTTATCGCTAAGATTTAATAACACTATTTTTCAATGTTGCGAAAAATAATACGCCACGGGTTTTTTATTAACACCAATCATCTTTCTCAACTTCGACTCGCACGTGTCTCTATTCTCACTTTCGAGGTTTTTTTTTTATTTTTCTTTTACTTTTTTTCCAAGTCATTGGCTTTTAATAAACACATATACGTTTTATATATTTTTTATCCGTGCTTTCTTCTTACATATAGATTTATTTTAATTATTTTGTTTGTTTGTTGTTGTTTTGTTTGTTTCAATCGAACACACCGATAATTTTTAAACGCAAGAGAAATTAATCACGGTGACAGAAAAGGAAGCCATTTTTACGCGATCGTTAACTCGCGTTGTTCGACGACTACGTTTACATTTTCACGATGTATATGTAATTTGTGTATGTGTATGTGTGTATAAATTCTCGTCTTCGTCATTGTCATTATTATCATAGTCATCGTCGTCATCATCATCATCATCATCATCATCATCATCATCATCATCGTCGTCGTCGTATCACGGACACGGGCTGTCACTTTGCATCGTTATCGTTCGCGTTCCTTAAGCTATTGTTTTAACAAGTAACTTAAAACCTAAAGCGATAAAATAGATGCTCGTGCTTTGAAATTTATTTCTGCTATTGCCTGACTCCCTCCCCCACCCTCCCCTACCCTCCTACCAACTTGAAAAATTCATTTATCGTAAACATATAAGCCCACACGCGTAGGATATATGAATTTGTTTTTTTTAAAATGAGAAACGTATGTAATAATAGATCTCATCGTTTACATTCGTTTAATTGATATCGGGATTGATTGATAATTTTATTACAATGAACTATTGTTATATTATAAACGAAAATAATGGATAAATAAATATATTTTACGATATTTATATTCGATGAGACATAATAATTAATTGTAATATGTGTTTGTGTGGATATAATTAAACAATTATAAAATTGTAATCTATAATATATATATAATATTTAGAGATAAAATTATGATAGAAATA